GTCCAAAGTCAGATGTACCCCACATCCTGGAAGGAGGGAATACACCCTCTTTCCTTCTTCCCTCCTCTGTAAATCCACCTCTAGATACAGTAGGGACCAGGACATTTTCTAAACCACCATCAGCTGTGTAACTTAATTCAAAATGCAAAGTCATGTTTCCTGTAACACTTGGAGGGGGGAGGGGAACCACACCATACCACATTCCAAAGCCCTTGTAAAACCCTTCTCACAAATTTACTAGGAGCTGGTGAGCACAGAAACAAAGGACAGTGAGGAAGTAAACTCTCCTTGTTGTCTTAATCTTGTAACTGGTGTAGAATAGTGCTTTGTGCCAACAAAAACAACAACTAACAGCAGTGCAATGGAGCAATGAAAAATCAGAGCATTAGCTATGAAGATAATTGTTAAAATGTATACTTCATAGTTGCCTGCCATGATGAGTTTAGCAAACTTCCGTGATCCTGCAACATTGCAGCGTTCGCCAATATTAACGAAATTGGTGTATGGCCCAATCCTGAATGGCTCCAGACCTTAAAAAGATATTTTTGAACATATTTGTAAAAACAGAAAAGAAAAAAACATGTAAGAAAGACAAAAGCTCTTTTCTAAACTATGGAATAGAGATGTCTCTCTCTAATAACAGCGATTTCTCAGCACATCAGGATACGCACAAATCTAATGAGTAACTAGCAAAGAAACAACATCCAACACATATGCCAAAGGTTTCTATCCTTCCTCAATGACAGTAATTTACCTGACCTATGAAAAATAACAGCCAATTTGTTCAACATAAAATGATGTGAAGCTGCAATTCTTTGGGCATCTATGTGTATGCACATATACACCTTATCTCCATTTCCAACTATCTCATGACTCTACCACCACCAGAGAAGGAGCCCACTGAACTGACTGACAAACAAGGTCAGCTCTTAACCGTGTGCCCAAGCTCAGAGAAACGAGCCAAGTGGGACTCTTGGGTAGCAGGCAACTCAGAGGCAAACTAACCTTAGAGCAGAACAGAATAAGCTAATGCATGAAACCACAGGCCAATTATGATTTATTTAATTTATGCTAAACTCATCTGACTTTGAGATTAAAATACCAGGACAAAAAGAAGATACTGTTTTACTTGGATACATGTCCCAAAGGCTTAAAAGAAGGTCTGGCTCAGGAAGATACAGATCTAGACTCTGCTAGAACAAAAGATGTTCTAGACCTGGATGTATTGCTGGAACACTGTCCCAGTATGACTGGATTGACATCTGAGACAATGCAGTGCAGTTGTCTCACAGCAGGTGAACAAAGATCGTGTTCCAGCTCTGACATTAACTGCAGTCAAATCACCTGATCGCTCTGTGCTTAACCCTCTCATGTTTCAAAGTGAGGATAAAGATACTCACTCACCCCTACAACGTGTCTGAGACTTGCAGAGTAAAATATGCTGGCTTAGTAATATTATAAAAGATTGTAATAAAATGTTTCATTAATCCTTTGGCCAAAGCAGTAAGATTTCCATGTGGTTACACATCCACAAGCTTGCTGAATTCAAGTAGAACCTAAAACCCACAGTGCTGTTCTGATCAGCAGAAAACAGCAAATAAATTTATAAAGGAAGGTTGCATGAGTTATAAAGCTCAAGCTGTTACACTCCGTTTTACCTGACAGCAGCATGTATCCTTGAGAGAGAGAAGGTGGAACACGAGGCTTACAGAATTTCACAGCTTCGGCAATTTTCCTGAGTTACAGAAAGAGGAAAGTGAAGAGTGAAGTTTTTGATTAAAATTAAACCACTCCAGACAAAACTCAAACAGACACACTAGACATATACCTACATCTCCAATTTAGCCCTGTAGCAGACAAGACTAATTAGCATGTTTCACTTCATGTGGCCAAAGGCAAAAACACTCCCAGAAGATCCTATCTTAGCTATTTGCAGGGAATGTACAAAGCTGAAGACTTACCAAATACGGAATGTGGGATATTATGCCAATGGGATACCCGACGGATACCATAGCCAGTCCTCAATCACATTGACCCTTACTGTATTCATGATTTGCTGAGCTGAGCAATTAATGATTGCAGCACAAAAATCAAGGGACATTGTTCTGTGCTGAGATGCATTTCTCAAATGCTGGAATGACTCATGTTTTCACTTTCTCTTCACTACAGTTAGGAGGGACACACAGCATCCTCTACATGCTCAGATACCACCTCTTCCCAGACTGTATGAATCACAGGGCCCCTTCTCTTTCAAGCCCAGGTGAGAAAGGGAAGTTTTCGCACTGACCTACTTCCACTGAGAAAGATACAAAACTCTCCTTCTCACCAGCGAGGACTAGGCACCAGCTGTACAATGTTCCCAGATCTCCTGTTCAGAAATCTCCACCCCATATCCACACACTCTCCTTCCTTCTATCAAGAAAGTAAACCTCAAGTTTCACCTTCTGGCTAATATGGCCAAAAAGAGAAAGAACATATGGCACAATGGAACAGAGATGGGAACTCTACTCTATCCAATGGTAAAGAGAGAGAAATAATTCCAAAACAATTTTAGATGACAAAACAGCAGAGGTATAGTCATTGTTTGAACCATGTCTCTACTCGTTCTTCATGATATACATGGCTATGAAAGCTGGGTTATTTCTATTCCATGTATTGCTGCTATTGGTATTCAAGTGATCTATTTCTTCAGGAAACTCTAAGACAAGCCATGCAATATTGCTCCACAGCAGCACCTGAAGTTGTAGCTCATGAGGTACCTGATATGTGCTGGTGTAGTACCACAGCAACCTCCAACTATGTTGACCAAACCATCCAAAGCAAAATCCTGTAAAATGGAGGAAAAGAGAATTTTGTTCCAAGTTAATACAGGTATCCTATACATATATTTTTATAGAGAGAGAAAGAGATTGGTTTTAGATACATATTTTTTTTTTTTCTCCATATGTTAAGCAAATCATGGGGATAAAAAAAAAATTTAAAAACATCAGTACTATTTCTTCTCTTTAGGATTTGTTTTGAGATGTGGATTTCCAAGACTAACCAGCAATTTCAACACCTAATTTCAGGAAACTACATTTGAAACTGGCCTATTTTATACTGAAGCTCCAGATGAAAACTTGGATGAATATCAAAGACTAGTCACACTGTACTATAAAAGAGAATTAACATGCAGCAGATACTGTGTTCTTGCTGACACACTGCAGCTCCAGTCACACAGTTCTGTCTTGCACAGATCAAGTGTCACATGCAAGGACAGCCTGCACTGCAACACCACCAACATCAACGGTTTCTACACACACAACTCTGTAAAATTCTGCCAATTCATAAAAACCGCTCAGCTTTTTCAACAATTCCCAAATGTAAAAGAAAGAACATAGTAGCGCAAATGAGTAACATCCACAGATCAAGCTGCAGGAAAGCTACTTAGTGTAAGACATGAAAGTAATTAAGGTTTTCAGAGTTTCACAAGTAATTTTTTCTAACCTTGTATCTCAAAATCACTACCATTCAACAAACTGTAAACAATCCAAATGACGTGTAGAGCCATCTGAGGAAAAAATCCACACCACAGTATTTTAACAAATGCGTACAAAATACACGCAAAGAATTCTTGTCTACCAGTATGTCTGATATGACACATTCACGAGAAATATTTCATACCTTTATATGCTTGGCAGTCACTTCTGGAGTTTCATCATAGCCACCAAAAGTATTGGGAAGACCTTGAAACATTATTTTTTTAGTATTACAATTTGTTTGAAGCTCACAAGAACAGAATTAAATTCCATAAGAGACACAATTAAAGTAGCTACACTTGTATGTGGAAAAAAATGCCTTGCAATCATTACTTAACAGGTTATTAATCATGCAAGAGAGCATTCTGGGTTCACTGTCAGAGAACTAACAACAGTTACTTTCAGCATTTTAAAATATTCACCTCTTTTTAACAATAAAAACAATCATCTTTTCAAGCTAATTCAACTCTATTATCGCTGATGACATGGAATGGTTTAGTTACATTTTGTATGCCTGTAAGCATAGGAACAAGTGCACCAACACACCTGCGTTGGGGTAACAGATGATGTAGGCTGTTGTACATTTTCCAATTGTTTCAATGTATGGTCGCATTTCAACTGCCCCTAAAGCACAATTTAAGCCGACACTGGAAAATAAATTTCCAAAAATTATTTTGAGGTAAAAAAAACCTTTTACACACAAAACAGACAAATGTTAGTGCTGGCAACTGCTAACTCCCACAATCATCTACAACAAAACCAATCTATATGCAATTTCTTTAATCATCATCATCAATCAGCAAGACTCCAAAAGGAAAACCCTTGTGTGGAAGAAAAGCTCATGAGGGAGGTGGACTGGACTGAATTGAAATGGGAACAGTAAATCAAGATTTCATTTCAAAATCTAGGAGAAAAGTGGCAGCATTTTGACAGCAACTGCAGCAACACAATGGCTCTGTATTGCCTAGGTGAGAGAGAGAACAAGGGGAATGAGAATGGCACATACTACAGGAAGAAGTATGAAAAAGGTTGAAAGAGTAAGACCTGCTTCAAGCCACTAACTCATCGTTTTCTTTTAAAATTATACATAAATTATGTCAAACTTGGAAGAAACCAAGTGCCTTCCCCAAGATGCACTAAGCTTGGGCAACTGAATCTGTTACATCTTAGTAACCTAGACAGCACTACAGCAGAAGTATTTTTGCATGAATAAGCTTCTCAGACAATTTTACCAGTATACGAGGTACAATCATGTTTTCTTTCCTTCAGTGACTGACACATAAACGTGACTTGCACTCAAAATGTCTACATTGGTATTAAAACGGCAATTTCTCTTTCAGAAAGTATTTAAGAGGTCTTTTACATATGTTTCCTGATCTCTCTGCACCATGCTAGAAACCACCTTATGAGCACTGCAAGACTCGAAAGGTGCTCACGGTGCTGCTCTAAGAGGAAGATGTATAAAAGCTTTCTTCTTTCCTGGAATAACGGTCTCGGAGAGGATGCGAGCTAACCTGCTGAAACAGGAATGGATGACAGCCACATCTCCCAACTAACTGCGCCACAGAGGCTGATTCAGAGGTAGCTAAGTTAATAAAGTGCACATATGCCCTCTTCGTCTCCCAGAGGTCAAAAGCAATAAAGCCCTGCACAGAACTAGGACCACAAAATGTTTTTTGACTTTTCTCCTGTTTCCATGGAGCAGGCAGGGGCTTGGTAACTGCACAGGTAGTAGCAGTAAATACTTGCAGCCCAATTCACTGTTGGACAGAATGACAAATCCTTGAGGTTTGAGGGTCTCACAGTAACATCCAAAACCAGGGCTTTGAATATCACAGTCACATACTCAGACCAAACCGCACACAAGCCCTTTCTTCCAATACCTTAAGTTTGTTTTTTGGGCAATTGGTTTGGGTTTTTTCTTCTTTTTTTTTTTTCTTTTTTTGGGGGGGGGCAGGGTTAGGGGTGGGCATGTGTGTTTGTTTTTTCAAACAGCCAGCTCTACCTTCAAAGTGCTTTTTCTAATGCATCTCATATGAGCCATTCTATTTTAAACAGGAAAACTTTAAAAGAACCCCTCTATTCTCATTTCCCTATTTAGTGTCTACACACGTTTAAATCCTTCATACAGATCCCCTGGATACAAATGTACAATTACAGCAATGAGGTTTTGGAATTTATTTCAAAGCAGGGGCTTATCCTTCAGGATTTTCAAAGCAAGGCAAGGTAAGAGTTGTTAATAGAACTGTCCTTATCAAATGCAGACGAATGCAAGGTATTTACTACTGTTAAGTCATTCAATTTACAAGCTTCCAGTTCACACTCCCCACCTCCTCTTTTTAAGCTCTCTCCTGTATTAGGCAGCTTCATCCCTCCCTTCCACATTTAATATCCATCTATCTCTGATTCTGAGTATGAACTCACCTGTCACTCTCTTTAGCTTACTTTATCTTACCAGAGAAATACTACAAAAGCAGCCAGCATACTCACCAAACAAGAACTTCTTGATGTTCTCACTTGACTTACTGGATACTGGCCCTCCAGACTGCCTGAATGATTACCCACTACAGGGGTTGCTGGTAAATATATCTATGAGCACGACACCATCCAAGTGTTACCTGTTTCAAAACTGCCAAGTTAAACTAAGCAGACGCGCACGTTCGTTCAGAAACAAAAAGTAGCTCCCATGGCCAGTATCATCTTCCCACAGCACTCAATAGCATCATGAAAGAAAACATTTGAGAAAAGCAAACCCCTAACCATGCCTTAAAAGCCAGCTGCCCTGAACCAGATTGCTGGTATGCTGTCACCACTATCCTAGCGTAATAACATCACACCCTCATCTTAAACATCACCTCCGTCCCTTGCTCATTTCTCCCCAGCAGCCATGCATCAGCTCCTGTGAAAGATAAGGCTGCAGAGCGCCCTTGGGACCAGAACAAACACCACGAGGGCCCGAAACTCTGCATACGTCTTCTTAACGCTACTGCAGTAGAAAATCGCAGGAGCCGAAGTAACACAAAGGGAAGTCATGCCACATCTGAGTGCCTTTCATAGCAAGCAGCTTGCCACACATTTTTCAGCACTTATGCAGCACATTTCACATGCTTCTCAGCTACTATCTATATCAACCTAACACAGAGCGCACACTTTTTGGAGGCACTCCGAACCAAATTGACTTAAGGACAACGCATCACCCCAAACAGGACATAAAAAAACGAAGCGGAATTATGTGAACGTGTATAAAATGATCCCTAGGATACTACTACTAATCAGTTTTTTCACAACCCTAAAGCCACTCTGTACCAATCTGGCAACAGAAACAACATTAAATGCAATCTGCTCCCAAAACCAAAACCCTCTGCCACAGTGCTGTACAGTCGCCTTCGCATAAACGGGAAACAAGCCCTAAGCATTCAGACCCGTAAAATAGCTTTTATGAAATACGGTTTAATAAGTTCTTCATTTCTGCTCCAGTACCCTTCTTTCCTCTTCAGAGGCAAAAGAGTTACGAGTAAGATTACCCAAGACAGACTCATGCCAAATATGGATCACTAGGCTGTGATGCTCAGAGAAAAAGTCAACTACCACCCTGTTCCAAGAGGCTCCATATGTTACTTCTGGAGCACCGTCTGGTCTGGGAAAGTGGAGCCTCAAGGGCAGTCAGGAAAGCTGTGAATCTGCTTTTGCATCACTGAGATGACAGATTGCACGTTTTAGTTGGAATTTGTAAAAACAAACAATGGCTCATTGCAACGTACACGGCACGTGCTGCTCACAGTGAATTAAACGTTTTAAGTTAGAATATTCTAGGAAAAAAACCACCTATTTCCAGTAAGTTTTGTATGAAGAACCAACCTAAGAAAACGAATGGTGAAGAGGAAAGAGGAGGCAAGGAAGAGATAGAATAGGGCATAGAAACACAGAAGACTAGAGAAACAGGGAACAGTATTCAAATTAATACACAAAACCTTGCACAATGACCAAAATCTGCTATATTATGCATTTTTGCAGATCTTAATCTCGTATTTATTTCAATTTTTCTGCCTGAACAGAAAAAAACGCAAGTAAATGGAGGCATCAAGAGCTCTCAAAACAACAATGTGCATCCTTGAGAAAAACACTAAGGGAGAATACACAGTTTTGTAAGAATTCAGTAAAAAGAACACGAGAATGAAATCTTACAATTTGTTCTTTCAAGCCACCCTGAAACATTCTGAGCTGGCACTGGTTCCCCTCAGAAAAAGATATAAGCCCTGCCCATGTCAGGAATTGGCTCCTTGCACAATCTAAGACAGTAAGAGATGGCAAATTATAGTTTCGGAATTATTTTTTTAATGCTTTGATCTAATTGTGATTTCAGCAGCTATTGCAAACTCCAGATTATTTAGAGCAATGTTTTAAAAATTCAGCGTTCTCTGGAAACAATTTCTGCTGAGGGAACGATAGCAGAATACATTAGCAATACATGTGATTAAATATGATCACAGTTAGCACAGCTTCCATTTAGCTGCAAGCAAGGGGTTAAAATAAAAAAATAAAGAATCACAATCTACAGATAACTTACTAAGAGAAAGAAACGTTTCCTTACCAAAGTGGCTTACTGTGGGAAATACTAATGACAAATGCCTCTGCTGTCTGGCCTGAGAGGGTACGCCCACTCTTATCCACAATGGTTCCAGATATCTAAATATAAATTGAACACAGAAAGGAGAAGAATTAAACTAACAATAAAACCAAGAATTTAAACAGCTGAACTGCTAAGAGTGAAAGCAGTGGGACCTGTGCTCTACTCAAAGTGATGAGGCACAACTCAAACAGAAAAATTAAACCCTTTCCTCTCTATAAATGTTTAAATATTTAGCTAGGGGAAAGCAAACCTTTGACCAGTCCTCTTTCTCTCTCTCCCTGCCTTGGGGAGGAAAAGAAAGAAAAGGGGGGGGGGAAGAAAAAATAAACCACAAAACAGAAGAGACAAAACTACCACGAACCAACTGGCAGCAAGGCAGCGTTAGTACCACAGTATCATTCTGATGATGGCGTATGAACCAATCTGCAGTGGTTACCTGTTTAGGCAGCTATCAGCAGCTACTGCTCCTCTCCTCTCCTCTCCTCCTTATCCTCCCTACCTCCCCCTTCACGTTATTTCAGGTCTCAGGACTGCTGTTAGGTGGTTTGGTGGTGGTTGGGGAGTGGGGGGAGAGGGTGAGCTGGCCTTAAAAACAAGTTACTGCTTTTGCCACAAGGGAACACCAGATGTCGCAACTCCATAGTGGAGATAGAAGTCTTAACCTGCATAATCATACCTGTTAAGAACTATGCAGAGAGAGATGTGCAAATAATAAATAATGTTTTCACCTCAACTAACAACTACAAAGTTGAGAACTCAGGAGATGTTTGAAAGAGCTGGGAAAGCCTTCCCAATTCTAAAAATCTTTTTTCCAGAAGATAGAAGGAGTTTAGAAGACTCCATGCAAAGGTAAATCCATTATTTGGATTTACTTTATCTAGGGCACAGGTAATCTTTTCATCCATGCTTCCAGTTGAGAGTAATGACACTGGAAGAAGCAAGTGCATTCAGTTGATTAATAAGCAGCTCCGTGGCTGGTGTCATCACCACAACTTTGGCTTTTTTCGTAACGGCATGGGCCACATGGCACCAGACCTACTGGCACCAGATAGGACTTGTCTTTCTCAGAGGGGAACGAGGGTCTTAGCGCAACAGCTAGCAGGGCTCATTGACAGGGCTTTAAACTAGATCTGAAGAGGGAGGGGGGTAATATCAAGAATGATAAAGACATGCTGGAAGTACCTGAAGAACAGAAGAAAGGAATTCCAGACGCTCCAGCCAGGAAGTCAGATTCATCTGGGGCCCAACTTAAATGCTTTTATGCCAATGCACGCAGCATGGGGAATAAGCAAGAGGAGTTAGAGGCGTGTGTGCGCCTGTTGGAATATGATCTTATTGGCATCACGGAGACGTGGTGGGATGACTCCTATGACTGGAGTGTCAGAATAGAAGGGGACAGGCTCTTCAGGAAGGATAGGCAGGGGAGAAGAGGAGGAGGGGTTGCCCTCTATGTCAAGGACCAGCTAGAGTGCATGGAGCTGCACCTGGAGACAAATGAGGTTCCAACTGAGAGCTTATGGGTTAGGATTAAAGGGAGAGCAGGGACAGGGGACGTAATAGTAGGGGTCTGCTATAGACCACCTGACCAGGAGGACCGGGTGGATGAGGCCCTCTACAGACAGACAGGAGCTGCCTCACGTTCATGAGCCCTGGTCCTCATGGGGGACTTCAACCACCCCGATATCTGTTGAAAGGACAACACAGCAGGGCATAGGCTTCTCACCAACAAAGAAGGGCTGGTGGGGAACGTGATGCTCAAGGACAGCCTTGGCTGCAGTGATCATGAAATGGTGGAATGCAAGATACTAAGGGAAGCAAGGAGGGTGCACAGCAGGCCCACTACCCTGGATTTCAGAAGAGCAGACTTTGGCCTCTTCAGGGATCTCCTCGCTAGAGTACAATGGGATGAAGCCTTCATTGGAGGGAAGAGGGGCACAAGAAAGCTGGTTAATATTCAAGGATCACCTCCTCCAAGCTCAGGAGCGGTGCATC